AAAAAAAAAAAAAAACAATACAGCGGGACGGGGTAAAAACACAAAGGATTTGCGTCTATGAAAATCCTTGGGGGCCCGCCGCAGGAAAATCAAGAAAACGCCAGCCGCTGAAGTACTGGGCACCGGTGGCCCGGGTCCCGTCCATCTGTTGTGCCGCGCAGACATGGCTCTGGAGGAAAATTTATGGTTTGGCATATCCAAGATAAGTTTACGGAGCTGCGTCTTAAACCATTCAAGGCACAGGCACGCGCCGCACGGCATGGAAAGGGTCAAGGCACACCGGCGGGCGCGAGTGCGCGCCCGTGCGGCACCAAATACATGTTCGTATCCCTCCTATTAATTTGCGCCTGACCCTTTTCGCCAGCCACTAGATGTAGCGTTTGTTTTGCACACTGCCGCCTGTCTTGTAACAAGCGTGGGTAGCGTGTATACGTGTCTGTGCGTGGGCGGCTCTTGTGCCACTGGTTTCTTTCCGTGGTGTGCCAAATGGCCTGGGTGGACCCAGCCTGCTGGCCCGACGGTAAAACGGGCACTTCGAAAAAGCGCTTCAAGCGAGCCAAAGGCGGAAAGAAAACGGGCGCGGCTTCTGGGTCCAGGAGGGCGCCCGAATGAAAATCGCAGTGGCCCGATGTTTGGGCCCGAGCTGCGCGGTGGGGCATGCGGGTGGGGGTGTCCGGAAATTAGCCCCCGCGGAGAGGCGCTTAGAAAGCGCCACGAGGAGATCCTGCTGGGATCTTTTGAATATGGCCTCTCCGCTCAGCCAAAACCAAGCAGACAGTGCCATTTCCGCCGGCCCGGGCAAACGCCGCTAGCCCGTTCCGTCTCTTTCAACACCGGGCAAAGTTGCCCATGCAACCTTGCGCGCGCCCACGTCTTGAGCGGATCCCAATACTGCTGGATCCGGGGCGGTCATCAACGATTGATTTTCTCAATGGCCAGGGGCCGACATCCCATGCCTTTCATGCGAGCGAGTCTGCTTCCATGGGGGCGACAATGTATAAGAAACACATGACGCAGGCAAGGCTCATCTGAGTCGTGAGCAAGCCCCAACGCTCGCAAGGCTCGTGGCTCACATAGAATAGAGTTTCCTGCAAATCCGAAACTCGAGCATGCAGATCAAGGGTTTCAGGTATGGTGTGGCACGGGGGGCTCCGTGGATAGGCATATACGAGTAGCCAATTCACTCTCGGCTTTGCCCGGATGCAGATGAAAACCCGCACCACCGCTTGGCCCGGGGGATTCCAGAAAATCGCCGTCGATGGCCATATTTCGAGGTCATGGTCTCTTTGCACGGCGCCCCTGCTCCTTAACAAAACATCACGTTGTCGATCCACTTTTATTGTTTTGGCCGCCACTCCATATTTTTTTGACTTGTCTCTCCTCTCTCCCGCGTAAACAGATTTCGGTAATCTCATTTGGCTCATGCAACTACTCCAGGTAGAGCCGCGCGGCTCGGATTTAGGCCCATGACTATTGGCTGGTGCAGGGGCTTGCAGCGAGTTTCGCTGACTACTGGTCTTTCGAGCGCCGGAGTTACGGAACGTTCGAGCTCTTGTACTTTATTGCTCTTGATTCTAAGTTGGTGCTTCGACTGTGACACGGCTCATTCCGAGTCATCAATCCGTTTGCAAGTTCTTACAAGGTCGTCAACCCCTAGTCTACAAATGCAAAAATAATCCGATACTCTCGCTACGATATTTTTTCGGATGTTTCTGATGTTCCCGCAGGTACGCATGCGTTCTTGCTCAGTCATCTTCCCGCACCGGTACATTCTTAAGACCTTCAGAATTTAAACCTTACATGGGACCCTAATAAGCCGTCATACCTATACAAAGACAAGAAGAGAGTTAAAAACGACGATTTGATTCTCCACGCAGTACGGCATCTAGACCAACACAGTACGTGGGAACCGTTGGTCAGGCACGTAAATGTTCAGTGTTTCATGCCCGATCTCTCATCATAACCTGTCATATTATTTCGACGTGTGGGGTTTGCGCAATGTTCGAATTGTGCATTCCTATTGAAAGCGTATGCAGCAGCATTCACTTTGAAATGCTCAGACCTCGTTTCCAACTATGTAAACTCCTCGGGAAACGAAGTCTGTTATCCATTTGGCTCGTTGGACAATTCCCCGCTTGAAGTGTATCAGGACCCCAACTCCGGCAAAAAACGTCCTCAGCCAAGTCGCTAAATTCGTAAATCACCCTAGCTTCTTCCCCACGACTTGTGAAGAGATCTTTTCTGCCAAGTTCTCCATGCCCTAATACCCCAAGAAGCACGTATCTAGCACGGGAGCCTTGAGTTCATTTGCTTCCTTACCAAAGCGAGCCAACTGAAGGAAGTGGCAACTATGGGCCTTATATCTTGAGTTCGAATCCAAAATTAGCAGCACGAGGAGCTCAGAGGCGCAGCGCTTTCAATGCTGATATTGACCGTCTCTGCCGGGGCTTCTGGTTCTGCAGACTCCTTGAACTCAGGCAAACAAGAGGCAATCTTCTTGAACAACAGTTTCACGTTGTGGTTAGCCTTGGTCGACGTCTCGATGAAAAACTTGGCCCCGGCTTCCGAAGCAAATTTGGTGGCCTCCTCGCTGCTGACTTGTCTTTTCGCATTCAAATCGGACTTGTTCCCGACAACCACCACTATCACGTCCTCGCCGCGCTCCATGCGCACATCACTGATCCACTTTTCTAGACTGGTGAAGGACTTTTTGCTTGTGATATCGTAGCACACCACTGCTACATGCGAATCGCGGATATACGATGGAATAAGCGACCTGAAACGTTCCTGGCCAGCAGTGTCCCAGAGCTGCAAGCGCACCGTCTTGTTGTCCTCTAGGTACATGGTTTTTGAGAGAAAGTCAATGCCGATGGTGGAAGCATACTGATCATCGAAAGTGTCGTACATGAATCTGGTGATCAAGGATGTCTTTCCAACTGCAGCAGTTAGTAGTGGGTCGGGTGATTTGCCGAGCCGCACGATGCAAGGAGACCTTAACGGTACATACCACTTTGGTCGCCCAAGAAAACAATCTTGTACTTTCTAAGAAATGTTTTATCACTCATTGGGCTGGCTACTAAATATCGGTCTGTGGTACTGCGATCGTCGGTCACTCAAACCACTATCGCTAGAGGCGCCGGTGGTGCACGGGTGTTTGGCTGAAGTCCACGTCAGGCTTACCTATGGGTAGGTAATTTGCAAAGTTCGAGGAGGAAGTTTGTGGTAAAAGTCACTGTTTTGTCTTGATTCCCCCGCAACCAAACAAACGAACGAACAACTTGTGGGTTGTTCGTTTGGAGTATATGATCCACGCACGACCCGCATATATCATGCATCGTTAGGATCCGCCCATTTCCAGGCAAGCATCACCAACATGGACGAGACAGAACTCAACGCAATCCGTGCTGCCCGCATGGCAGAACTACAGAAAGGCCAGAACCAAAGCAATGCCTCGCCGCAAGAGGAACAGAAATTTTCTGTCCTCTCTCAGGTTCTAGAGCCTAGTGCCCGCGAACGGTTATCGCGAGTCCGGATGGTGAGACCAGAGAGAGCCGACCAAGTGGAACAGTATCTTATGAAAATGGTATCCATGGGCTCCATCACCCGGAAGATTGGTGAAAAGGACATTGTGGAAATCCTAGAGTCTGTATCTAGAGGTGACCAGAAGCAGAGCAAAATAGTCTTTGATCGGAGAAACGCTGATGATGATGATGACGACGACTTTTTCGACTAAAGACCGCATTCGAACTGCAAATGCATCGAGAGGATAATGCCTCGTATTCGGTTTGTTGTTAGTCGTACATTGTGTTGCGGTTGACATGTCTTGCCATAAATGCGAACATGCATCAACAGATGGCCATGAGTTCCTGGTCATGTAGGTAGACTGAATGAGCGGAATACAAGGGATACGGCTTCATGCCAAACTTTCAAATAACATTCGAAGGAGCTCTAGTCATGGGAGTGTGCTGTAGAATATGTTTTGGAAATACGTTATTGGACTCATTTCTTATCTTTGTTTGTCTTGAGTCTGACGTCTTCTCGATAATAAGCAATATTTCTTTCTTTTCGATCACACGCGCTGGTTGAAAAGCGCTAGGCAATCTGTTCGACGCACTGTGACATCACATTGAGTCAAGAGCACTCATATCACAATTATTAATGGCCACCCGGATGGCTTCGACAGATCCACCTGATGTAGATCCAAAGGGGTTCATATCTCGTGATGTGCATGTATCTGCGGTGACCTGTGGAAATGAATTCTGGTTGCTTCTCGTGTGGATTCTTCGCCTCAGATTGAAGCCAGCGTGTTTTCGGGTAGCTTTTTTTCTCTTATTGTCTCAAATTTCTTGGGAATTAATAATCGGGGAATGATTTGCTCTGGAGACCTGGAGGATTATATGCGCGGATGCAATGCTTTACTAATAGAAGGCACACATCTCTGGCGACCACTGGATCTCTTGTTCAAAATACAAAAAAACAAACATACCAGAAGAATCTCTTTCTATTATTCTCTTTAGATTTCTTGATTCTGTCGCGGGTGTCTATCAAGGTCGTCATTCAAGCAAGATATTTCGTGAAGCGCACCATGTCTAAAAGTCACTGAAGATCAATCGGACCTGCACTGCATCGCGCGGCCTGCCCACATAGAAAATAAACAAAAACAAAGCACGTCTCTCGATTTCAACGCCAGCGCCATTTTCACAGTCTCTTGATATATCAGCAGAAAAAAATGTCTGATAATATTCAGGTTGTTGTGAGATGCCGAGCACGCAATCGCCAAGAGATAGCGGCGAAAAGCCCTGCTATAGTAGACCTACCGAATGATGAACATTCTGCAGACGAGCCATTCGTCACCATCACAAATGACACGGCTTCCACGCTATCGGGGCTCGGGAGATCTTTGCCAACAACAGGGAAAATCTTCAAAGTGGACCAGGTCTATGGCCCCAATGCAGATCAAGCCTTGTTGTTTGATAATGTCGCGATGCCGTTATTCCATGATTTCATCTCTGGCCTCAACGTCACGATATTGGCGTATGGACAAACAGGCTCCGGAAAGACCTACTCTATGTGCGGCGATTTAACTGGCGAGAATTCAGGAATCATGCCTCGTGTTTTGTCCAAGCTCTTTAATTCCATAGACACGGACTATATGGTCAAGATCTCCTGCGTTGAGCTTTACAAGGAAGAGCTCCATGATCTCATAAACAACGAGTTCGACTTGGCGCCTTTTAAGTCAAAGCTTCGCTTGGGGCCCAGCTACACCAACGACAAGCAGTCAACCGTGATTCACAACTTGACGGAAATGCATATTGATAGCTGTGAGATGGGATTCAACATCTTGAAGCAATGTCTAGAAAGAAGAAAAACCAGCGCAACTAAGCTAAACGACATTTCTTCCAGGTCACATACTATATTCTCCATTAATCTTTTCCGCAAGAAGAGCCTGCCCACAGGTTCTGACGAGTACATCAAGTCTACTATGAACCTTGTGGATTTGGCAGGATCTGAGGACATAAATAAATCAGGTGCCACCAACGAACGTGCCCGTGAAGCAGGATCTATTAACCAGAGCTTGCTTGCTCTAGGAAAGGTGATCAGTGCATTGAGCGAAGGAAAGGACTCGAAGCATGTTCCATATCGTGAGTCCAAGCTTACTCGCATTCTTCAAGGCTCCATCGGAGGTCATACGAAAACGGCCTTGATAGCCACCATTTCTCCCGCGAAGATCAACGCGTTTGAAACGGTGAGCACTTTGAATTATGCGTCCAAAGCAAAAAACATACGGAATCTTCCGCAATCAATAAGCGACAGTGACGTGGTCAACAAGAAGGTGCTAATTAAGGACCTCTCAAGTCGCATAGCCCGGTTAGAGAGGGACCGTATTTCCGCAGCTGACAAAGATAATCATGTGAAGATTAGCGTGCAAACGTACAAGGACTTTTGCAACGCGAGCACAGAGTATGAAACAACTTACAAGGAAAAGGACGCACAAATTACCAAACTTTCCTCCAAACTTGAAGCCAAAACCATCGAGGAGTCCATGAACCAAGAAATTATAGCCTCACTTCAAGCACAACTAGACGAGCTGAGACAAGAATGTGCCCTTAAAAGCTCCGCATTATTGAAGTTGCAAGAAGAAGTCGCAATGAAAGAAACATTGACTACAAAAAGAGAACAAACTTTCACTACAGCATGGACAAATCTTCAGTCCAGGTTCGAAGACATTATAGCAGATGCTAGCTCTTTTGTTGCAGCGAATTCCTCAAGTCTCACCGAGAACCTTGAATCTAAACAGAATAAAATAGTGGATTTCTGGAAGACAAGTCTGAATAAGCTTAACGAAGAACTCAATATATTCTTGAGTCTGTTCGGCCCTGGATGGAAACAGGATCTCACTCAACAATTAAAAGAAGATCTCGACTTTTCCAAGGATGCGGAAAAGATTAGAGTGATAGATTTTGGATCAGATCTCTCCCACTTCAAAGATATTGAGGAGCAAGTCCAGGGCCAAATCGAGAATTCATTATTGCTGAAAAGTCACGAAGGAGTAGTGAATGCTAATTCGGAAAAGGTTGCCCACGACTATAAGAAACTCAAGGAAGGATTACTCATCCAAATGCGTAATGCCTTGGATCTGACTTTCAATGCCCACCAGGATGCCATCTGCAACGCGATTAAAGCAAACGCGACTCAAGTGTTGTCAGATTGCGCTTCAAAAACTTCAGAGGCCATGGGCAAGTTGTCAAAAGGACACACGGAGCTATATAAGAGCATCGAAGCTAGGGCAGATGAGCATTCTCGAAATGTCACTACATTCAAGAATAAGCTTGACAGGAAAATGGATGGTGCTGGCGCCAGAATCTACGATGAAACAAAGTTCAAAATCAACCGCGGTGTTCAATCACTCATACAATCCAACCTTGAACATGGCACTAATTCGGTCGAACTTCTTGAAGAATGTTTCAGTGAAACAAAAGCCCTTATGAGCACATCGAACGAAACTTTCAAATGCAAGCTTGAAGGCGCCAAGGACAAGAAAACTAATCCGTTGAGCGAGATCAAAGACATAAATATCCCGCGGGTCAGCCCGAAAAGAAAGTCGAGTTCAATCTCACTTCGCTCCCCACAGCGATATGATCAATTGGATTTCAAGCGCAAAAAACTACTGGCGTTGGGAAAGACAGACTCGGAAATATCGCGCAGTCAGATCCCGCAATTGCAAATTGGTAGAAAGTAATTCATTTAAGGTGTTAAATAGAATTCGTGTAACTAATTATGATCTTGCACGACCCCGCATTTGCATGACGCGGCATAATCTCCGCTAATATAACTGACACACGCAACTGATAAACAAGAAATGCCGAACAAAGGATTATTGTGGGGCCTTGCTTACTCAGCCTTTAGTCTAGGGTCTTTTGGTGCCTCTGTATTGTTGCTGGCCCTAAATTCATATGACTTCCTCACATTTCTGCAGGAGCTCACTGACAGCTTCAGACTCACGATTCTCCTCAATTTCATCGTTTTTTGTTGCTTGTCGTTTGGGTATCTTAGCGTTCGAGTTCTTTTCCACAGATTCAGAATCATCGAAATCGAACACATAGCAGACCAATTGCCATTTTATGCGCTTAATTTACTATTCATCCTATTCAATGATGGCAACATGATTCTTAACACCGTGTTAACAGGACTAACACTACTTTTGAAAGTACACCACATCATGACGTATGAACGAATCGATTTTTTGCAAGTACAGGTGGTGAACAGAATGTCACAGCAGCAGTTCTCAAAAGCTCGTGTGTTTGCGTCGTTTTTCCTGAACGCACATGTGATTTATCTTTTTCTTTTGCTCCCGGCCGACTTTGTGCTTGCACGCTTTTTGGCTTACGATGTATTCCAGGGTATTGGCTCAATGGGGAGTCTTTTATTTGGCATTCAGTTCGGGGTCTTGTGGCTTGATTGCTTTGCCTTCTTGGGAAAGTTGATCCTCAATGTATACGAGCTTGTCTTCTATAGATGCGTGGATGTTCAGGAAGACTTGATCGAAGATGAAGATGTTCTTGAGGAACATATCTGGGAAAGTAGAGCTGTGTACGTCCAGGGATTCGAGATTTATCATTCTATTTTGAAAACCCTCTTCTATGCCGCTTTTCTTTACACGCTATATTTCCATTCTCGCGTGGCATTGCCAATTCCTCTCATCCAGGGATGCATTGTCTCTATACACCAGGCGTTCAAAAAAGTTTACCAGCTCATGAGCTTCCTTTCTCATTCCCGCTTTCTCGAAGATCAGCTCGCTTGTCCTTCCGAAGAGGAATTGGTGGCTGCCGACTATATATGCATAATTTGCCGTGAGGACATGCACTTTCCTGAAACATTCGCCGCTAATAGAAACAGGCCTTTGAACCCGAGAAAGCACCCGAAAAAACTACAGTGTGGTCATATCTTGCACCTATGCTGTTTGAAAGATTGGCTTGAGCGATCGAATAGCTGTCCTCTTTGTCGAAAAGTCGTGTTTAAGAAGGCTCAGCCAGTAACTGAACGAAATGCGACTAATCCGCCTGCGCCTACTCCTGTAGGTCGTCCTGAGCCACCAGCTGCAACCAACATGGAGACAGCACCGCACACTACGATTTCAACTCCGATACCTGATTCTACGCCCACTGCAATGTCAGAGAATGGTGTGGCAACTCATCTTGAGCCTCAAAACGTAGACGTGACACTGACAAATTTATTACCATCGAATACCCAAATTTCTCCAGCGCGGGAAGGTGACGGAAATAGCAAGCCGGCATTTATTCCAAGAGATTGGACTCTTTTACCGTTGATTCCAACTTCTGAAGCCCATCGGTTTGATGTCAGACTATCTTCTACTGAAACCGCTCAGCTCACCATCCGTCGAAACGACCCCCTTATCTGAAGTCTGGATTGATGATAGTTGTTAATGAATTAAATGAACCGAAAGATCAGCTCGTAATTCGTAAGTTTGCCATCGTAGCTCAAGGGGAATCGCTCTCAATACGAAGCTCTGCATCGCGGTTGATTGCATCCAAAACTGTTTCGTTGACAAGCAATACCTGCTCATCTTTGTGGTCATTCAACTTTCCTTCATTTCCTAGGAACGATTCTGAAATTATTCTGGTGAAATTGATAGAGCTGTCTGCTTGATACAGATCCATGGAAAACTCTCCTGGCCATTCGTTTTGATCGTTCTCCTTGTAGTTGCGTTTACGTGAGCTGGGCAGTTCTGAATTCCTCTGTGATTCCTGAGTTTGGGTTGCGAATTGATGAAAGTCTCGGCTGATATCCCGGCTTAAGTCTTGGGTGAAAGTTTGGTTCTCCTGAGTTGTATCAGGACTAAATCCATCAAAAGAAGCACCAGTGTTTCTTTTTTTGGCAATAATTTGACCATCTAGAGAATCGTCGATACGATTAACTAGATATTCGCCACTTGTATCGCACCCAGACGAGTCTGCTGTCGATGACTTCGTGTTTCTGTCATTGCTAGCGTCTCTCCAAACTTGCGAATCCTCTTGATGTTTCATTATGTGTCCTTCGTAAGAATCTGATTGATGTATTGCAGTTTCTGCCGTTTTCGCTATGATTGGGTTTTCCGATTGCTCAGGCTTGAAAGACTTGAGATTATCTATGATACGGGTATTTGTCGTGAGAGAATTCCCGGCGTTCCAGTCAAAAGCCAAAGTTTCTGCACTTTGAGTATGGATCCGCGAATCGTCCTTAACAGGCAAAAGTATGTCTTTCGTCATAGGTATTGTATTCGAAGGCAGAGACCGTTCATTGGAATTCACAGGGTTTGAAAACGTTGTGGGAAGCGAAACTTTCTTTTTGTGAACTGGCTTTTTCTTAACCACTTTGGCGGGCTCTGTTCTCTGTTGCTCTTGGAGTCTCACCATTTCAGTCATATCTCTATCTTCCAAGACAGCTTTTTCCTCCGCCTGGTTTTTGAGTGTGATATTGTGAGTGCTTAGATGGTCCTTCAAGTTGGCACGTCGCCGCAGCTCTTGGAGTTGTCCACATACTAAACAAACAACCTTGTTGGGTTTGAAGAGATGAAAAAAGTTTCCAACCCAGTGCTTTGCACCGCTTTGATTGTCTTCAATGATAATTCTATCCCAATACTTTCTTGGCAAGACTGTATCATTTGCCTTTGTTAATTCCACTTTTCCGTTATGAAGAGTATAACCAAGAGATATTTGTGTGACAGAAACATTATCATCCTCTACCAAGTTTGCTATCAGACCACTTAGCACAGCTCGGGTTCTTTCGATCACTTTTTCGACCAAGCATCTGGGATAGTTAAAGTTATGCGAGTCACATTTCTCCATCAAGTTTGAAGCCTCAGCGATGTTGCGGAATACACGAGTCTTTATCGATTCTTTACTAGCCAACAAAGACATATCGCTTGCCAAATCGCCAATGACGGAAGCACCGTCTAGAATTTCATCGAGCTTTTTATCGAAATCTTCAAAAACAGATAGGAGGTCTGCATTTTCAGAGAGGCAGCAGAGAAGAAGCATGTAGCAGAATACACCATCCTCTGTGTACGGCGGAACGAGCATGATTTCATTTAGCTTGTCTCGAAGGGACGAATATTGTTTCTCGGATAAAAGGTTCCATAATCCGGCGACTCGGTATATAGGAGTGTAAGTCTTGGACCCCGTGCGAAACACAGGCCCCTGGGTCAGGAAAAAGGACACCAATGGTTTCCCGTACATTGGAAATGCCAAAGTCATCCAGTCATAAAACTGCTGGATTTTCATTTGCTCCTGGCGCCCACGGCTGTCACTCGTCTGCTTGTTGGTGCGGGATTCGTCTCGAAGTTGCGAAAGAATCTCAATGCCTAGAGGCCAAAGAGACCGCAAATCAACAAAGGATAACTTGGAAAGAAGTGAAAAGGTTTTGAAAGCCGTGTGCCAATCCTTCTCTAAGATTTTCAAGTGCAAAATTGTCTTAAGAGACAAGGCATGCTGTCGCCGGGCAGAGTCATGGGCAGTAACTTCCAAATCGTCGTATAACTCGTAGCCGGACTTATGAAGAGAGTATTGGTCTCTGAGCCACGAGCGTTCGGTATCTTCTTCGTTTGCCCATTGTTTGAGCTTCTTCCTCGCAAACACCAGGTCGGGTTTCATTGAGTCGTCTTCTTCGTCAGTGGAGTCAGTCGAATGGTCATCCGATGATGAGACTGGCCTTTTCTTCAAGGAGTGTCTTGCTTTGCTATCATGATGCGCAAGATCTTGATCTGATATCTCGCGATCAGATTGGCCACTGTCTGAGGTGTCAGTTTCAGAGTCACTATCAGAAGATACAGAGCTTGACGAATCACTTTCTGAAGCTTCGGTATTTGAGGATATGCGGTCCAGCAAGTTATCGTGCGGATCCACCGCTTCCTTTGTGGGGCCTGCCCCGGGCTTTTCTTGGGAGCCATGAGACCCAGAGAACCCGTCCTGTTTTAAATCATGCACAATTTTTTGAATGACGAACGCATCGAAATCCGCCGCGGTTTCGCCCAATGCCAGCTGGTCTCGAAACGCCAGTGCACGCTCATCCTCGTCATCTCCCGTCTCATCCTCAGACACTGAATGCCAATCTTCAAATGTCGCCTGCGGATATGTCCGCGCACGGTACATGATCCGAACCCGCCGTAGCACATCGGCACGGTCGGCTCTAGAAAAATCCCATTGTCCTGTTTTCTCGACTGCCAGAGCTACCTTTTCAAAAACATCCTCCTCGATTATTCGGAGGAGCCGAGCTTTGCGGCGACCAGTTTTTCGCCGAGATTGCGGGATCAATGAATCTTCGAACATACCCAGGCGTGTCTTGCAGAGCCATATACACTAGAAGCAATTCGACGAGCCGCGTCAGAGATGGTATTGCTGGGGTTGTCTTGTGCCCAGCAATGTGCCAATCGAATCAAAATTTAATCTTCGTCTCGATGATGATTCTGCTAGAGGCTGAAACGTATTTGCGTCGTCTCGGCAATGCTATTCTGCTGTTGTTCTGATATGGGTGCTGAGATCTATAGCCGAGCATTAGTGATCTGACGTTTCTCACTGTCTGCGATGGGCTGCCGCAGCTGTATAAAGGCAGGCATAACGCGAGTATAATCAACCAGCAATTTGATAAACTGAATACAATTGCCCAGATCCGTGATTCTCTTGCAGCGCGGCCTAATTTTTAGCTTTCAAAACCCAAATACCATTGTCAAAAAAGCTGCTCTGCTTGTGCTTGGTTGGCGTCCCGTTCACTCATGGGGTGCCAACTCCTACTTTTGCAAGACTCTAGTGCTGGGCTATGGGATTTTCAAAGCCGGGCTCGCTGCTTATTGATACATAATCCCGAATAAATACAGTATCGTTCATTTTCAAACGCCCTGCTACATGATCGTTAATTTCTAAGCACCCTGTTGTCTTTATCTCTTCATTTTCTGTTTTATCTATACTGGGAGAAAGGTGGCCTACTATATACAGAATCAAGCAAGGGCTATATCATTAGAAGCCCATGCCTGGCATACCACCCATGCCGCCCATGCCGCCGGCTGGTGGCGCAGCGCCCTTTGGTTCTGGAGCATCGACAATAGCACACTCGGTGGTGGCCAACAACGAGGCAACACCCGCGGCGTCAACCAAACCGTTCTTGACGACCTTGAATGGGTCGATAATTCCGGCAGCGATCATGTCGGTGAACTCGCCCTTGGACGAGTCGTAACCCTTGTTGAACTCAGCCTCGTCGTAGACCTTGCCCACAATGACAGCACCCTCCTCACCGGCGTTCTCGATGATTCTTCTGGCGGGCTTGGTGATGGCGGATCTGATGATCTCCACACCCAACTTCTGGTCGAAGTTCTCGGCCTTGCTCTTGACCTCGTCCAAAATTCTGGACGCCTTGATCAATGCAGTACCTCCACCTGGCAAGATACCCTCTTCAACAGCAGCTCTGGTGGCGTTGAGCGCATCGTCGTATCTGTCCTTCTTCTCGCCAACCTCGATCTCGGAGGAACCGCCCACCTTCACCACGGCGACACCACCAGACAACTTGGCCAATCTTTCCTGCAACTTCTCTCTCTCGTACTCAGTGGTGGCGATGTCATCGTTGGCCTGTCTGATCTGCTCGCATCTAGCTTGGATGTTGTCCTTGGAGCCCTCACCGTTCAAGATCACGGTGTTCTCCTTGGTGATGGTAATGGAGCCAGCAGAGCCCAACTGCTCGATGGTGGCAGCCTCGGGCTTGAGGTCCAACTCCTCGGTGAAAACGGTACCACCGGAGAGAATGGCAATGTCACCCAAAGTGTTCTTTCTGTTGTCTCCGAAACCAGGAGCCTTCACAGCACAGACCTGGACTTGGCCTCTCAACTTGTTCAAGATACAGGCGGCGAGAGCCTCGCCCTCGATGTCCTCGGCCAAAATCAACAAGGGTCTTCTCGTCTGGTTAGACACCTCCAACGATGGCAAGATGTCCTGGATGGACGAGATCTTCTTCTCGGACAACAAGATCAAAGGGTTCTCGAACTCCACCTTACCGTTCTTGGTGTTGGTGATGAAGTATGGCGAGATGAATCCACGGTCAAACTTCATACCCTCGGTGACCTCCAACTCGTCCTCCAAAGTCTTGCCCTCCTTGACGGTGATCACACCCTCCTTGCCGACCTTCTCCATGGCGGAGGCCAACAAGCTTCCAATGTGCGTGTCGCCGTTGGCAGAAATGGTGGCGACTTGCGCGATCTCCTCGCTGGTGGTGATCTCCTTCTTGTTCTGCTGCAAGAACTCAACAACTGCCTCGACGGCGGCCTGGGTACCACGTCTCAAGTCCATAGGGTTGCATCCAGCAGCCACGTTCTTCACGGACTCCGTGAAAATGGATCTGCCCAAAACAGTGGCAGACGTGGTACCATCTCCGGCAGACTCGTTGGTCTTCGAGGCGACCTCCTGCAACAATTTGGCTCCCATGTCCTCGAACTTGTCCTTCAAGGTGATGGACTTGGCAACGGTGACACCATCCTTGGTGATCTTTGGCGAGCCGAACTGCTGCTCAATAAGCACGTTTCTGCCCTTTGGCCCCAAGGTCACAGACACTGCGTCGGCCAAGGTGTTGACACCTTTCAAAAGGGCGGCTCTGCCCTCGACGCCAAACTTGAGCTCCTTGTGGGAGTAGTGGCGGACAAGAGTCTTGGCGGTGGATGCACGTGCTCTCAACATATTGTGGGGAATGGTATGAGATCTGGTAGATTTTCAGTTGTCGGGGTGCGAGTGTGGAGTGCGGAATTCGCCAGGTATATATGCTGGGGCCCAGGAAAAAAATTCCAGAAAATTCTGTGGTCTTGCGCGGAGACGCCTGCAGAGTGGCGCCGCTCGCCCCGGTCCATGCCGCTGCGCTCGGGCTCCGCGATATTGGCACCCATGAATATGAGACTGACAATGAAGCTACTGTCGTAGCCAACGTCGTCATCTCCGTCTGCGGTCAAGATCTTTGGATCTTGTTCACAAGTTTTTCCATATAAGTACTGTTTTTGTCTTACTCGATAGAATCGACCGCTTGCCAAGTAGCACACACTGTATATTACGGGCTCAGACGGCCCTCACCAGAGACGATCGAGCATCTGTCCAGCCCACCGATCGATGCTCTCGCTTAACGCATCCAGCCTCTCAATTCACTCTGTAACTAGAGCGGTGCACCAACTTCACAACTGGAGCGATTGGTGTGGCAACTGTCTAGACTCTTCCTTTACTGCCCCTTGAATAGACTGTCCCAATCGAGGCGATCTCTGTCTGTTGTAAACTCAACTCCCGTATTACTGAAGAGCAGATTCAACATCTGGTCCACTGGGTCTTTCGATTTCGGGAGATAGTCGTAGCTGGGGAAGCCATCTGGAGCAGAATATCTCTGAGTGGAGTGCTCCGTCATTTCCTGCTTGATTCGGGGCTGTGGGTAATACACCTCAGATTGGGCTGGTTGTGTCTGATCCTGGACAAAAAAAGGCATCTGAGGTTGCACATTTCCATGCAAAAACTGCGTGTTCTGTGGCATGGCCATATTTTGCCCATTCACAAGATGGCCGCTTTGTGGAGGGGAAGTTTCATAATTCAATTCTTGCCACCATGGATCAAACGCGAAGTGCTCTGAATCTTGCTTCGGCGGCCCGAGAGGTATGGACAGAGGCATTGTCTGGCGCATCATGATTTCCGCAGGTGCTTCCCAGGCAGAGTTTGCCATAAGCGTCGGATTTGGCTTTCCTGCAAGCTCTGAATCGGTGACTTGACTCGTCGAATTGGAATAATCCGATGTAGGTGGTGATGATTTGCTAGCTAGCTCACTGTTCTGCTCATCTTCGACATTGAATTGCTCGTGGTCAGATGATTTATCGTCCGAGAGCACCATTTCATCCCTCATCTTCGCTTTGAAAGCTTCAAACTTTTTGAGCAACATCGCCATTGGCTTTTCGGCCGCATCATACTTTCTCAAGTTAATGTAGTTGATGTAGTGGGCAAACGCCTTAAATTGCTTCTCCAAATGAATGTAGTGTGCTTGCTGACTGGTCATCAAAGTCATCAAAACATTCGCCAATAGCATGACCACACAGATATCCATGCTTGCTGAGCAAAATTTGTTGCTTGATATGAGAGGCTCCGTAGGTGATTCGCGTGGCTGGATCTTAAGTCCGGTTTCTTCGTTGATTCTGACAAGCTTCAGGTGCACTATTAGGTAAACTTCTTTCGCCATTTCCTCAATGAGAAATACGGTGGAGTGTTGCTTCGGCACATGCAAAAACGGCTTGTTCAAAAAAATAAGCAAGTAGTAGTAAAGGAATTTGAGGGTGTGGTTTTCTTTGGCCAAATTCTTCGATGATTTCAAAGAGGTGTACAGCCAAGAGCATGCAGGGTCCAAGTTCTGCCTCCATTTGAGTAATTTCATATTGAAAACCTTCAGTCTGTTGAACTTGAGAAGATAGTTGACTTTCGGATCCTTGTCAAAAATCACAGGTTGGTAAGTCAGCCTGATCATGTGCTTCGTCATCTCTATAAGCTCCACCGAATACTTTGCATTTAAGTAGTCCACGTCTGTTTCTCCTTCGAGTCGAAGAACTGGGACTGAGTTTTGCTGGAGCGATGGCCGGCGTCCCAAAGACATAGCAAGGTACTGATCAATGACAAGGGTGCCCATAAAACACCGATTTGCTGTAGAACAGGCGTTTTCTCCATGACACATATCGAAACCAACATCCAAACCAACACGAATTGCAATTCCTGCAAACAACCATGCCTTCGAAATCTGTCCCTTCGAGGCACAGTGCATTGCTAAGAGAGTATAACATTGAGACACGGCGATCGACAGTGCTACTGTTTCCAGAAAAAGATCTTGGAGTACGAAGTCACAGTATGCATCTGCCTCTTGGTAGGTGAGCAGCTCACAGTTTGCACAAATTGCATAAACCAACTGAGTATTGAGGAAAGGACCGGAAAAGTTGCGATTCTCGAGCTCAAACAATATGCGCTTTTTATCAAAGAGCGCATGCTGTGTGCCATGATACTGGTTGTTAAAATAGCCGCGTACCAAGCCAGCCACATAGTCGAAGTTTCTTTCTAGCGTCACCACATTATTTACGCGGCCCTGAGAGTCGAATTTCCTAGTCAATAATGGCTCCTGCTTTTGGGTGGGGACGCTTCTACAATGATACACGCTCCCCGCACCAAAATACTGGTCTTTTTCAGTAATGAATGGTTTCTCCGCTTCCTCATTTTCAGATGGTTCAAAGTCTTCATCCATAATTATGTCGCTTGACAAAAATTCGGGCCGCTCAACTCTTTTCGGAAAAGATACGCTAATCGATTCGAGTTTGGCCGCTAGCTCTTCAGGACTATTTCGAAGGGTCACTAATTCTGCAAGAGTGTTTTCCAATACATCGTTATTGGTCTCTAAACTTTTGATATATCCAACAGAATACCTTTGCGATCGTCTGTCTGTTGTGTTGTAGTCACATGTGATGCTTTTTTTGGAACAGCTGGAGCACGGGTGACCTCCATCACATTTCCGTTTTCTCTTCCTACAATTGGAGCAGGATAACGTCTTCTTTTCACTCGGCTGCATTTGAGTGTTGGTGAATACTTGGGTTTGCTGGTTTTCTGTTTCTTTGTGTATCTATTTTTTGTTCCGACTTACATGAAAATTATGCTCAGGCTCCGGGAAAGTGAGATTTCGTGGGAACCGTGAGCATTGACTGACTAAGCCACTTGGGGACGTGGGCGCGGGACGCACCTTCGTTGAATTCGATAAGTGACGGCGAGGTCTTTGAGCATAAAGTTTACAACTTCTCCTAGTCACAACATATTCTCTGTTCATGTCACATTCAAAGCTGTGGTACTCAGGTGGTGAGGTTTTCTATCAGTGCTAATTTTGAATGGATAGCCGAGGTAATTTTCGAGTTGACGTGCCCGGTATCGTAGGTAAAGAATTAGTTGTAGGTTGTGCCCCAAATTTGTGATCACAACAAATTCCTTTCATTACCGTAGATAGTCCCAAGATTCTCCATATAAAGAGCGAAACCCGATTAGCGGTAATATTCTGTTTTAATCAATAGTTATATGCCAAAATTTTAGGTTTTAATTACATTCTTCTTGAAAGCAGTCACACTCAACCCATTTCGAATAGAGTTTACATATTACGCTTCTAAAACGAAGAATCTATTCAACTCCTTGACACGGAACTACTCTTCTATTTAAATACGTTTTTATAGACATGAGAGGCCGAAATTTCTAGAGATGCTGAAGGTGCTGTGATTATCTATGTACAATGATTGAAATGGCCTTTTGTTGGTATTATCACACGAAGGTAAACTGTATATACTACATCAGACGGTGCGTCACTCAACCTCAAATGCGCTTGCGACATACATAGACACCGACAAATGAAGAGTAAATTACGGAAGTATTATCATATGTTAGAGTCATCCACTGTTAGACCTAAAGATAAATATGTTTTAATTACCCCACTTGTTGCGGAAATATCGTAGCTGCACAATATCATCGCTCAGCATTTGTATTTGCCACGTTACAAATGGCCACTGCAAATGAACTATGAATGGCACGAGAAAAATTGAGCAGTTTTAGTTCTCTTTGGTTTGATGACTCTCTCTCCGGCTGATCCTGGTTGGAGGGGGCTTTCACTATTCTAGTAATTTCATTCGAATATATTGCAAGGTGATCTCTGTCTCGTAAAGCGTTGTTGAAACAGATCCGGGTTTTGATTTAAAAAAAATACTTTCCGCCTGATTTTCTGACCTCACTTTTATTGGAAAGTGAAAAATCATGTTTTTTTTTTGAGATTAATGATAACAATCATCCGCATTTTTATGCGTACTTACAGGCGAAAGTTTACACCGGAGTCAAGGACCATTCAGCCAATCTTGGAAGTTGTATTCGAAGTTCTTGGCGAGTATGAAAACCCCAAATATAAACCGAGCATTTTTGATCCATAATATTTTGTATACACTCGGCTTATCTAAAAGTGATTAAACCCTACCTGCGGGATCCAAATCGAATTCATGTCTTACTTTTTCGAATTCCTTGCAAAGACATTAATAGCAGACGAGAAAAAAAATATTGATCACCAAATGCGAGCAAAATTATTGAAAAAAGATTCTAGTACTCCCCTAAATTGCTCAGCGTTTTATTTTCAATGTATTTTTAGCGAACTGAATTGGCTGATCAGGATTATTTGACTCGGGGATGCTATTGTTGTTGGTATGATTATCTTTTAAAAAAGATACGAGCTATTTTATTCTGTTCGTTATTCACTCCTCTGCGAGGCGCTCTTTTCGCTGGCAGAATTCTTTCAAATCTACAACTGATGTTCATATCCTCGGTCAATACTCTCTGTTAAAGTGGTCAAACGAATAACAGACCCATTCATGAATTTTTCAGGCTATACAGCATTCGGAAATGATCTAACTCAGAAGCTCGTTCGGGTTCTGAGGTCTTGCTTTTTATTGTTCTTATCAGGTTTTGAGTGATGGCTTGAGACTATGTGTTTTTTAAAACAAAAATCAGATTTTTCAATGGATTCTTGCATGTGAAAATAAATTCGGTCTTCAACAATAAACCTTTGAAAACAAACAGCAAATGTGGAATTTTTACCATGCTCTCCGTTATTGTTGTTGGGTTTGATACCAAATTAAACGCAGTCACAATGAGTAAAGTGGTTCCCACGCGATCATGACCAAAACTAAAAGAGTCAACCTGAATCAGAAACAAATCCAAATCGTATAAAGTCGCCAAATAAACTCTTCAAACGACATACTGCTTGAAAATCATGCAGTAAATGAAGTTTTTAACTGCATTATCTCTTCTCGCCTTGACCATTGCTGAACCGTTTCTGGGTTCAGGCTTTTTAGTCATAGACAGCGCTTCCGATGATCAAGACTACATACCTAACTATTTTCTTTCATTGAATGAAACATTCTTTGCAGGCCGTGGCTCCACTTCACTTCATGTGGATGATGGGATTGTAAAACAGCATAATAGTACATACATTACTCTCAACTCAGAAAATAAACTATGTATGTCTCCTATCATTCATCCTGGATTTCAGGTTCATAAAAGTTTCGCTGACAAAGGCGGCATGTTGTTATTTTTTCCACCCTCGGATCAAGACGGCTACCATGGCTACTGTGATGTCTTCGAATTTTGTGAAGACGGTCTGATTGGTTACAAGAGTAGTTGTGCGGGTGCAAAGTACATCAATATCAATTTTTTGGAGCTCTAATATAATCTTAATGTCGAGCTACGGCAGATAGTGGCTCCATAACAAAAGAAGATTTTTTTGCTAGATACATCCGACTAAAGGAAGTATGACATAAAAATAATATATGAATATTCTCAACTAGTTCAAGTACTCGGTCCATTACATCTTCGCATTTATGCGAATACTTATTGAATATTGTGTTACTAAATTTGATGATCTATCTGCTAAAGACGCTGTTTTCCGAAGAAGGTCTACCAGACCGTGTAGATTCACTGAGATACAATGCTGTTATACATGCAAAATAAGAGAAAAGGCCGTTGATCTATCAATTGGGGATTTAGGTAATTTAGCGTTAAAGAGATTTTATATAGTAAAATGTTCGAGCTTTTTACCTGTAAATGTATAAGTTTTTTTCTGAATTCTGATGCAACAAATAAATTATTTTTTCTTCTTTTTTGGTAGACTCATCTTATTAAAGTAACAAAAGTATACAATTGCATAGAACAGACCTTCGAAACAGCTCCCAGCTACGTAACAAGTGTCTTAGCTCGGCCCGTCCCCTTCCGTTAGTCACGGCCTGGACAGTCCTCATGGCACGTATCTGTTTACGTATTGGATATTACGTCATCGACTCCTAGGATAGGTCTCCTGTAGTAGTCGCTTCAACTCGGCTGGTTGTAGCGGACTTAAGGATCCCACTTCCTGCGACTCGCCACGCCTTCTGGTGTAGACCTTGAAGATCGTGGTGACGAACCAATTTAATTTTGTTAAGTTCTCCAATGAGTTGTCGGCTGGGGCCAACATTGAGTTCAAGCTCATGGGCTTGGTAAATTTTAGCTCTTGCCACCAGTATTTGGATGTTTCGCAGTTGTTGTAGATATGGCTTAGGAAAGCGTCGGTGGCGTCTCCGTTGTTGTGGATTTGTTCTGTGCAAAGATGGCATTGAAAATCTGCTGTGTCGCTCGGTAGGGTCCTGCGCGGGACATATGATCCGTAATTGAAGTGATGGATAAAAAATCTGATTGAAGGGGCAAAACCGCCATAGTTTACAGTACCAAAGCTACCTATTCCATTCACATCCATATCAAAAATTTGATCCGTTCGAAAAGCATTGAACTCTTATACTTGCTTTGACTAGTTGCCTTTATGTTGGTTATGTCTTTCTTAGTAGAATTTCTCACAACGAAATCCGTGATAGTTTAGTGGCTAGAATTACCGCTTGTCGCGCGGTAGACCGGGGTTCAATTCCCCGTCGCGGAGTTTTTTTGGATTATGGCTACTATACCAGCTCAAATCTTTTTTGCTTGAGTCAACTGACGCAAGTCTCGCTATTCAAATAACCACCATACAATTCATGATCTCCAACGACGGATTCGTGCCGATCACTGCCATTTTTTACTCGGTTTTCCATCCCGTGAAGGGCACTCAGATCGTGCATCAAGTACCCGAAGGCTCGATCGGTAGTTATGACCTACAATCAGGGACTGACGTACTATTCAACTTCGACACGGTTAAAAACTACATCATTCCAAAGCCACAGTTGTGTAACAAACTCGTGTCACTCAAAATCAACGAGTTTCGCGTGTTAGGGTATCCCGTAAATATCGAGGGTAGCCATTATTCACGGAACTCGTTCAACTTCAATTTTGGATTCGTTTTGCCATATAATTCCGATACTACTCCTTACGAGCTGGCTGTGAGTCGCATGGGCAAGATGTTCCGAGCCTTAGAGGAGCAGTCTTTGCTTCTAAGTAAGTTGGATAAAGAGCATGCATTCTTCAGTGGGCAGGCAGGTACTGAGTTTTCTGAGAGCAGTTTCCAATATACCCCTGGACACTCCAAGATCCAAAAGTTCTCCTTACTGTCGATTGAATCGCTCATTCATCAGTTGTACCAGGACTTAAACAACTACTCCGAGTGTTGCATTCCCATTGATTCTGCCAATAGTGTGGACATCAAGCTTTTTCCCATGCTTCCGCCACCTGTCAATTTGAAAGCCTACCAAGTGCCCGTGCTGACAGTAAAGTTGGATCAACTTATTGATGTCGTGTGGGATCCAACCATGGTAAAGATTCTTCCATACGTGAATGGCCTCAACTCCGTGAAGAAAATAAGCGAGTTGGCTGATGCAGACTACCTCTTGACGAAGCAGTGTATTCAACACCTCATGCACTATCAGTGCATTATTCTAGTGGATGTCTTCCAATTCAGCAACATTTACGCCCCCACAAACCATATTGGCAATTTCCTAAAGACCAACGGTATGGCTGAAGAATGTCAAGCATATATCATTACGACCCCCCATCGAAATGAGTCTGCCCCCTTCAGTTCACGGCCCACACCCGATACACCACGGTCTGCAGTCACTCCGGTAACTCCAAGTCTCACCAATACTCCAAATGTACATACCTCAGCTCGTGGAATTCCAAGCCATTCACGGTCTCAACCTTCGAATGAAGGAGAGCAAACGCTGGCTGAATCCGCAAGCCCTCTTACGAGAGGTATGACGCCGGCTTTTCCAATGACATTTTCAGGCAAGGAAAGCGAAATCAAAATTCCTTCGAAAGCTACTTTGTTTTACCTATATCGGCTGCTCAATCAGGGCCAATCTATAAAGGAATGGTATATCCAACACCAAAAGGCCCTATCTAATATTGACATCCGCAGATTCATAAATTTCGGTGTTGTCCGTGGAATCATATACAGGGTCAACCTGTACCCGATTTTGCATTGGGTCACAAAGTCACTAGAAACTGGTAACGGAAGAATTGAGGGTATAGAAGACCTATTGAAAAGTTTGCAGAACAAAGCCAAAATCAATTCGGCCCTCAAGAAGTCAGCGGGTCCTGTATCAGAAGCTGGTCTTTTGAAAAGCGTTGTAAGGGAGAGCAACTTGAAAACAGGAAGGAAAACCCGAACAGTGAGCTTTAATTACCATGTCGATCATCCTGTCAGCGATCCGTCCAATCGAGATAGACACAAATCATTCAAGGCGCATCGCAATTCTTCGATCAATTCACATGAAACACCGCATACCGAACATGATGAAACAACAGCTCATCTGGACCTGGATGTCTTTGATAGCGATTCTGATGAACTGCTCAACGGAATTTCGAATAAAGCACGAGGCAACCGAGCATCTTCTGACCTGGAAAGCGTCTCTTCTGGCGAACCCGAACAGCTGTCAGAAAACGATGAAATTATAAAAGTCATCAAACTTGTTAGAGGTTCCCAGCATTTTGACTCCATTTGCACTGAATTGCAAAAGTCTCGTGCCGATGTGGAAAAACTATTTGACAAGATAGGAGCTCATTCTGTTATAAATGCGTAAGGGTATTTGCCAGAAGCTTTATTGGCCCTTTTTATAAATGTGTTTGTATATGCTCATCAAAGATCGATAGTGCGTGATTTTTTAAACTTTTTGCATGGTTGTTCCATATGATCTCCCAATGTCCCATTTTATGACCGAGTAGCCAAATTAGGATCCGAAGCTTGGGGAACTTGACTCATCTATTTTACTCGAGTCGTATTTTGTTTGTCCAATTTAACAAAAGGGAAATCAAAAGCTGTATGCATCATTTCAAAATCCAGACATGGAAAGAATTTTTGTTCTGTGAAGTTTATAATTTCAATGCCCTGAAACTTGCTTGTCTGAATACTTTGATATCAAGAGGTGACTAACAATAATTTAAAAATATTGAGTTTTGTGGGGTCATGCGTATTCTAGAAACATCGAAATCTCCATGTCAAAATTCAGTTTCTCCTCTTCAGATTCTCAGAGCAAAGTCAAGTACTATTTTAAGCACCCATTGTCAATCTAAATACAGAAAGCATTTACTCAAGTAAAGAAGCACTCTTTATTCGAAACATTTACCGGTGGAACCGTAATCCTCCCATTTTCTATTTGATCGTTACCGCGCTGCAAGAGCCTCTGGCGATGCGGGTAACCCCCAAGCGCAGGCGCGGGCTGTTCATGTTTATGCGAGAGCGAGAAATGTAAACAGAACCAAACTCCTCTTCTTTCTGCCCATAAACCACACATACAAAATGTCAGGAAAAGGAAAAGTGCATGGCGGCAAGGGCAAGTCGTCTGAGGGAAATAAGGCTACCAGCTCACACTCTGCTCGCGCTGGGTTACAGTTTCCTGTTGGTAGAATAAAGAGATACTTGAAGAGAAACGCCCAAAGTAAGATCCGGATCGGTTCCAAATCGGCAATCTACTTGACTGCTGTCTTGGAATACTTGACTGCAGAAGTTTTAGAGTTGGCCGGTAATGCCGCCAAAGATTTGAAGGTCAAGAGAATCACGCCCAGACATTTGCAATTGGCCATTAGAGGTGACGAGGAATTGGACAACTTGATCAAGGCCACCATCGCCTACGGTGGTGTCTTGCCCCACATCAACAAAGCATTGTTGTTGAAAGTGGAGAGGAAGAAGGGCCCGAAGTAGGCTTCTTCGCCCAGAGTTATGGCCGCATAAGGTCTGGTTGCTCCTGTGGCATACTCCTTCCCTATGTACTATATATATTTGTAAATTAATGTCAAGGTTTGTTCGCATGTGTCAGAAAACACATCCTCACGCCACAGTGGCAGGTGCCGAGGCTGAGTTAGACTGCTCGCTAATGGCTTTTTGCCGGGCGGCTTCGGTTGTGATTGCATGTAGGAGCTCCAATTCAGAAGAGAGCTGTTCGACTAGCAGCTTGACTTCTTTGATATCGTCCTGTAGCTCTGAGATGTCGTTCTTTGTGTTCAATTTCTCTTTGTTCGCCTTGAGTCTGCTGCGATTGCTCTCGTAGAGGATGAGAGACCCGGCCACCAGAAATATGAAAAACTCCAGGAGAAAATTGGCCCCGGATTCAATGGCCTTTTTATCATTCAATGGCCGGATCTTGATTTTGTTTTCTCCTAGAAGCCTCATTCGGAGTTTAATGTCGGTCGAATGCACTGTCTGTGCCACCTTAATACAGGCCTTTCTAAATGTTTCGTGCTCTTTAGCCTGCGCCTTAAGAGTCACGGAAATTGGCTTGGCAATCGTCCGAAGAAGGAGAGAAGTGAATTTGAGTGCAATCCCACTCATGATTGGTAGGATACTATGTGTACGAGCAAGAGTTACTTCGCCTGACTATCGGTTGGATGGATGTGCTGATTCAGCAACGGTGAAAAAATATCAATCCTCGGTGGAAAAGGGATTATTCCTTAAGCGGTTTTGGCAACGCGAGTGAACTAAATTACAGCAACAGCTTTCCGATGACCCAAGGTGTCGGTGTTTCTTCAGTGAGGTAGTTTCTGTTGGATTGTGAAGTGCAGTTTCGATGTCACCGGCCGGTGAGAGCGATCGCACCGCAGAGGCACATGACTTGCCACGGGAATGCAGAGGACAACACCAGAGATGTCCATGCCTCTTGCAACTAGAGTAACTAATCAACATAAAGAAACACAAAGCGTCAACCTAGCAACGCTGAAAAAAGAATCCAGACATTCTGATTGGTGCGCCGATAAAGCTGCTTTGTATTATTCGCAATCTAGTATTAAAACTCGCAGCGCTCATACATGCATTGTATTCGCAGTGATCACGCGTCGGAAGTCAGACCCCAGAAGGTACTGAAAGACATACATTGCAGAATCTGTCTTTATTTCCTCTTTTGAAGCTCATCTTATGATCCTCACTCCTCTTGTTTTCTGTTTCAGGTTCTTTTCTATGATAATTTTTTTCGATAATTGCTTTAATGGGGTCGCTCCCGTTATGGACCAGTTTAGCTACCGAATAGTTACACTTTTTCTTCTATTTGGGCCATCCATAGTCGGGGTTGTAGAGGCAAGTATACTGTTGGTGCTCCCACGAGTTTTAGGAGCCAAAATATCCTCAGACTGCATAATTGGCCAACACAACGGGAATTAAATTTGTGGGGTAGACCACTCGAAAATAAAGCGAGCCTCAAGAAGCTCTATATACATACCGACATTAGCGTATCGATCGGGGGAAGACGTATATAATTTGCACAAGCAGAAACGCCAAAGGGCCCGGACTCTGGAAACCCAAAATTCGCACTCGGGTCCATTCCAGCCTTGTCCCCGATTGTGGGGTCTTCGACTCGCGATCAATAGCAAAACCACTTTGCGAAGTTCTTGTGCACATATACATAAGAGAAGGAAACTTGAGTAAAGAGGAATGATAGTAGATATGATAATCTAGTAGGGAGGTACGCATAGGCTTTTGTGCCGCGTGTTTGTATGTTCATTCCGAAAGGTCCGCCATCTGCTGACCTAGGTTGTGGGGTACTCAATGCCGCAATAAACGAATCACCCACAAGCCGCGAACTTAGTGAGCACTTGGTTCAGACCTAGCAATTCTGTCCAATTGCTGATCCAAATGCCATTATTATTTTAATATCCATGTCGACTGGTCAAATCCCCAATACTCATGATGCGTTCCGGCTTACAATGGTCCATATTTTGGTCAGAGCAAGCAAGAGCGCCCAAAACTGTGCCTAATCATGAGCCCAGCAATGAAAATAAAAAAAAAAACATGCAAAAAAATGCAGTACTTGTTTCTGCCACGAATTTTATGAATCCACGCCGGAGGTGGACTCGAAATATGATCTCGCGATAATGTTTCGGGACGAATGTCTGCTACCGTTGTCGGAGTTACGGAACCCAAAATTAAGATATAGTCAAGAGACCGATTGGCAAAAAAAAAAAAAAAAAAAAAAAAAAAAATTTTT